TGAGGGTGTGGGCGGTAATGGCCGATTCCTAGTGGTAAATTGAGCTATGAGACTCTCATAGGTCCCTTTGAGGAGGATTTCATGAGCCACCAAGTGCCCATGCAATTCATGGAAAGACATCTGGTTCGGGATGCATATTCAATGCGGCGATGATGTTATGATATTTAGTTTCGATGTTGCGATAAATGATTGCATTGAACTCAACCGATGTTATTCTACGCCGATTATGGCCAGTTCATTAGCCAAGGACTTTGCTTTTTAAAGGTAGTCAATCACAAAGAGGTTGTTTTTTTTTTTAGCTCTTGTAGTGTAATGTTGAGTTGAAGTCGGCGATTGTGGGAGATGGAACCCAAAGCATTGGCCGAGTAGTCCATAGCTGGAAGGAAGAGGTAAGATCAATAACATAAGAGAACATGTCCTCGGTGAGAGAAAAGAGTAACCATGAGTGCAATATTTGATCTTTTTGGAACTAGATATTATAAACGGGATTAGGGGAGATAGCGAGTGGATCATCGAAAGGAAGATATTGTCTTGGATGGGGTAGCAGTTGTACCATCAATATAACCGGTGAGGTTTTGATAGTTGAGGAGGGGAAGGAACTATGCTTTCGATGCTAGTTAATTTGTAGAGTTTAGCTTAACAGAGAAGTCGTGATGGGTATTAGTGGGGAAAGAGTTAGAAGGTTGAATTGTAACTATTTGGGAAGATGAGGTAGGAAGAATGGTCATGCTGGCATGTGAGGAAGAAAAAAACGGGGAAAAAGAGGAGCAAAAGGAAGAGAAAGGTGTATAGATGGATCGTAAACATAAGCTTTGCAAAGAAGAATATATTTTGTATTGTGCATGATACTATTGACATGTGGTACGTATATATAGGCGAGAAAACTTCCAGCTATGCTAGACTTCTATGCTACATGTGGTACGTATATATAGGTAAAAGACTTCTAGCTATGCTAGACTTCTAAGTAGAACTTTCAGTATTATTATCTACGTGATAGTTATCTTAACAATATGAGAACTATCACAATATGGTATTTGATGTTATCCTAACATCTTTTTCCCGATAATATGTCCATCAATATAGGCTAATGATTTTTATTTAATTTCCATTCATTTATTCTCATGCAACTAGGGAGCTTAACTTATTTCCCCGTTTATCTCAATTATTCCAAATTATCATTAGTTGTGTTTAATATATATATATATATATTCTTGAGCTAGACTTTTTGCTATGTGTTAGTATAAAACGACAATGTGTTAGTTTATATTAGTTACATCAATATTTACCGATCTTAGGTTACAATATGTAAACTCAAAAAAAAAAAAAAAAAAAATCGAGAGGTTAATCATTCAAATAGGAAAATCAAAAGATTAGACACTCAAACTAAACAAAAATCAAAGGTTGGGTATTGAAATTGTAATTTTTTTTTTCAAATTTCAAATGAGATATATATTTTTTACAACGTGACAATTGATACTCGATCATATTAGTATTTAATAATTTTAGGTGATGGAATACACTCAACTAAAAAGAAAATAAAATTAAAAGTTAATCAAAATAAAAAATTAGATACACAAACAAAATAAAAATCAAAAGTTGACAATCTGAAATTGTAGTTTTCTCATCTATAAAGTGGTAGGCGGCATAGAGAGAAATCAATTTTTTTTTTTTTAAATAATAATGTTTTAACGAACTTAGCTATAACACAACCGAACATCGGTGAATAGATGCGAAATCGATTTCGATAAAAATATTTTTGTGTTGACTTTTGACAATTGGGTTTTTACGAGTTTGGTATGCAAGGCAGCAAAAGTCTCTTCATTTATTGTAAACATTATTATTTATTTAAATTTTTTTTTTTTTTTACTTTTAAAGGGAATAAAAGACTCGTGTCATCTTCTTATTGCTTCCAATTTTATATAAAAAATAATTGATAAGAAATTCAAAAAATAAATTGTTTGGAATTTTGTCAACTTTTTATTTATTTATATCTAGAAATTAATTTTTGAATTTTTTCATTTATGATGAATTTTTATTTTATTTTTAAAAAATTTAAATAAAAATTGATTTAATTTTTTTTTTGTTAACCTACTTGATTGCTTTTATTTTTTCATATATATTTTTTATTTTCTAGCTATTTTTTATTTTATTTTTAAAATATAAATATAAATATTAAAAATAAATGATTTTTTTTTAAGAACTACAAAACACATAAAATAAAATTTTAGTGAAAATTTAAATTAGAAATCATGTCTCTGAAAAAATAAACAAATTAAATCAAGTATGTTTCATTATTAAATCCATAATTTATCCTTCACTGATGAAGTAAAAGAAATAAAGTAACACTTTAAAAAAATAAAAAACCCTTTTATGTGGTAAATAAATAAATAAAATAATAATAATAAATAATAACAAATCCAGCATTAAAGTAAATTATCATTTTTTTGTCCTTTTTAAAATAAAATAAAAATTCCAACGTAAATAAAAAAAATGGCAATAAGAGTTCCGGCTATAAAAAGTAGAAAGTTGGCAAAAATCTTTAATTTTTTTGTTTTGAATTTTTAATCAGTTTTTTCTTCTGAAATTAGAACCAATAAAAACCAAACATCTGTTTCTCTTTTTTTTTTAAGTCAAAATTAATAAAAAATTAAGTTAATTTTAAACATAATAACCTATACTGTCTAACAAACTAAACCATAAAAATTTAATTATTTAAATTAAAACCACAATGATATCTTTATTTAAAAACACAATGAACTCCTCAGTTTTTGAATTGTGAGACTGAATTTTATGTCATTTCCATTTTCAATTGTTTGTATAATAACAGTCTTGCAGTGCGATTCCTAGTGAATAGATGCATCTCGTGAACTTGGCTACAACAACATTCCCGATTACACCACGTGTCAATGAATCATGAATGAAAGGAGAGAATGATTTTTATTAATTATAAATTATGAAAGCAAAAATTTCAAGAAATTTTAATGTCGATATTAAAATATTCGAAGGCCTAAAATAATAAAATAAAATAAATCTAAAATCATTGAATTTGCTATATAGTAAAACTTTCTTCCTTCTTCTCTTTCTCTTTAGGATCGAAGGGGGAAAAAAACCCTAAATTAGAAATCCTAACTTCTCACTTGCTAAAATCTCATCAATTATCTCCAAACATCACATGTGACTTGCTAAACTGATATACATTTATCAAATCACAAAGTAGAGATCAATAATATATGGTTTTTTTTTTTTTTTTGACGAGGAAGATTAATATCGTTATTTCACACCCAAAATTCAGATTTTTAGCATCTAACACAGATTAAAACCGTTAAAGATTATCCTACATACTAAAGTAAAACGCTTTTCATCGTAACAATGAATAGTGTCAATCACTCGTTCATTGCTACAATGTTTTTGTTTTTTTTTTCATTATTATTTTTGGCTAGACCCGTTGCTCCCCATCCGTTTACTCGTTCATTTGAACGATGAAACGGCTTCCCTCCTTTTTTTTTTGTAAACATTGAATTTTTTTTAAAATTTCCATCCATTTACTCGTTCACATGAATAGTAAATGGCTTGCACCCTATATTTTTTTTCTAAACATTGAATTTTTTTTAATTTCGTTTCTTAATAGTATTTAGTGTTAAAATTTTAAAAGAACCAACAATTAATTGGGTGTTAAAATTTTAAAGAAACCAACAATTTATTTCCTTTATTATTTATTTTTAAAATTTTAAAAAATAAATAAGAAATAGTTAAATACAAAATTTTTTATTAAAAAATTATGATTATTTTTTATCATAAAATAGATTATTAAATTGAAATAATTTTTCTAAACGATTTTATATATTTTATCCAACCCGCAAGTATAGCGCGAGTAAAAATCTAATACTATATACTAAAGAAAAATCATTTTTCACTATAGCAATGAACAAGTGTTAATCACTTGTTCATTGCTATATTGCTTTGGCTTTTTTTGGTTTTTTAAGTTTTTTTTTTTTTGCTAGCACCCACTCGGCCTCCCCCTCCGTTTTTTACCCGTTTATTGTTCATTTGAATGGTAAACGGCTTGCCCTCTTTTTTTTTTTTCCCTCTAAACACTATTTTTTTTTTAATTTCTGTCCCTTTACTATTCACATGAACAATAAACGGTTGGCCTCCTTTTTTTTCCTAAACATTGAATTTTTTAAATTTTAATTTCTTAATAATATTAGGTGTTAAAATTTTAAAAGAACCAATAATTAATTGGGTGTTAAAATTTTAAAGAAATCAATAATTTATTTGCTTTATTATTTATTTCTAAAATTTTAAAAAACAAATAAGAAATAGTTAAATATAAATTTTTTTAATTAAAAATTATAATTATTTTTTATCATAAAACATATTATTAAATTAAAATAATTTTTTATATAATTTTATATATTTTATTCAATCCACAGCTGAAAACGGATAAAAAATCTAGTTCCATTCTATGCCAAATCATCCGCGTATTAGATGTGCCTCTATCAATTTTCATTTTCATGTCCTTTTTTCCATATTTGGAAGACCCAAATTTTGGACATATTTACCAATTATGTGGACGGAGGAAGAAGGAAGTACAATTCCTTTCTAACATCACTGTGTCACATATGTGGGGTACATCCCCATCAATGTCACCATCTGGACCTATCAAAATCCTCCTGTCTCCTTGTTACTTGCTTGATGGTAGGACCCCCCAAATCCCCCATAAAGAGACAACAGAACAAATCAAGGCATCCTCAGCTGCCTGGAACCCTCTTCACTCTCTCACACTCTCTCTGCTTTCTTGCAATATGCAAAACCCTTTCCTACACTCTTCAAGATTTCTCTCTTTCCTTGAAAACTTCGTCTTCTTTCTTGTTTTAGCAACCTTAAACTGGGGGATTTGCTGATGTTGCACCTCTTGTTTCCAACTCCAAAACTGAGTCAATATAAACTGCACGGACATTAATCTTAGTAAGTTTTTTACCTTTTGATAATCAAGAATTATGTTTCCTATATCAATTACCAGTCAAAGTCCATTTACAAAATTGTCTTCAGATTACCCAAAAATACATATATTCTCTTCTAATAAGTTCTCTCACTTGAAACCAGTTCCGTGCCCTTTCCTCAACAAAAACCCCAACACCATTAACAACCCTGCAAAGTCCAAAACTCATCCTTTTGGCTCCATTTTAGTAGCCCCAGATCAAGCTTCTCCTAAGAAAGGCAAGATAAATAGGGGATACCGGGAAAGGAGAGGTTTTGGCCAAGTGGGTGGCCAACAGATGCTGGTTCTTTGTGGGTTTGGGTATTGGATGCAGGGGTTTAGGTGCTTTCCTTGGCTTGCTCTCAACTTCCATATGGCTCACAATCTCAACTTGCATCCATCAACATTGCAGCTTTTGCTAAACTCTGGTAACCTTCCCATGGTGGCCAAGCCTCTTCATGGAATCCTCTCTGATGCTCTTTACATTGGAGGTGCTCATAGAATACCTTATATCCTAGTGGGAGGTTAGTTATCTTATATCTTCTTTGCTTTGTCTTAGTTTATGTTTTTCATTGTTCATTGCTTCTGTTTAAATTTGCTCTTAATTAATCATTTTGACAGACATTCTTTAAAATTTTTATGTTTTGAGCTTTTGCTGGATCGTATCTATGTTTCTAAATTAGGCTGGATGTGCAGTTAAATTTTCTTGGGCTTAGACTCTGGCTTTCTGCCTTTGCTTGAAATCACTCCCTTTTACTTTTTTCCTTCTGTAGCCATGCCTCACGATTCTTTTTGTGAATTTCCATGTCCATGCCTTCTGTGCATGTACACTAAACAAAGATGAGGTACCTTAATTTATCTTAGATATAATAGTAGTTGGCTCTGGCCAGATACTATCTCTTGTTATCAAGTAAATCTTTAAGAAGACTAGAAGTTGACGGTCTATAGTAAATGGTGATAGTTTGTTTTTTTCAGATGTCTATTGTAAGACATTTTAGGGAATTTCTTGAAGAGCAAAAATAGGTAAAGATCCATAACGAGAGACAAGGGAAAATTGAAAAATTGAAGACTCAATTCTAAGCCTATTATCATAATGAGTGTAAGCTTGTCATATCCCAAATAATTTTTATGAACTAATATACCTGGTTGATGGATCGAGCTTACAAAAAATGCTGACAAAAGCGAAATTCTCAGTCTTTTTGCAGGTGCTGGCTTGGGGGCCACTGGCATTGATACCTGTTGCACAGGAAGCCCTTTCAATTCTCATGGCATGCATTCTTATCAGTAACCTCGGTGCTTCAATCACAGAAGTTGCAAAGGATGCACTTGTCGCCGAGTATGGCCAAAAAAACAGAATTGGAGGCCTCCAGTCTTATGCATTTATGGCTTTAGCAGTTGGTGGAACCCTAGGCAACTTGCTAGGTGGTTGTTTCTTACAAAAAACACCACCCAAAACCATGTTTCTTGTATTTTCAGTTCTGCTATCTCTTCAACTAGCAATTTCATCAACAGTGAGAGAGAAATCTCTTGGTTTATCAGAACCATCAGATCACAACCATTTGAAGAAATCAATTTGGGAGAATATCAGAAAACAGCTAAGTGATCTTAAAACTGCATTAAACGCTGACAACATTTCCTGCCCTCTCACTTGGATTGTAGCATCTATTGCTACGGTCCCGATTCTCTCGGGATCCATCTTTTGCTACCAAACACAGTGTCTACATCTTGATCCTTCAATTATTGGAATGTCACGCGTAATTGGCCAGTTGATGCTTCTTTCCATGACTGTACTCTATGACCGTTATTGGAAAGAAGTGCCTATGAGGAAATTGGTTGGTGTGGTCCAGTTTCTATATGCTTCTTCTCTTCTTCTGGACTTTCTTCTAGTGACACGGATCAATCTTAAACTGGGAATTCCCAATGAGGTATTTGCCTGTTGTTTTTCGGGTTTAGCAGAAACACTTGCACAATTTAAGCTCCTTCCTTTTTCAATGCTATTGGCGAGTTTATGTCCTCAGGGTTGTGAAGGATCCCTTGCCTCTTTCTTGGCATCATCATTGTGTTTATCATCAATTGTCAGCGGGTTCTTGGGTGTTGGGTTAGCTTCTCTGATTGGAATAACATCTGATGATTACTCGAGCCTGCCAGTGGGAATTTTCATACAGTTCCTTGCCGCGTTGTTGCCTTTAGGATGGATTCATCCTGTACCCATGTCCAAACCCATTGTCGAGAAGGAAAGAAAGCCAGGTATGAGTAAAAAAACACGGAAAAATAGAAGGGTTGGAAAAGTGGTGTTTGGCTCTAGTTATGTTTACCGGCGTGAAAGAGATTCTGATTCACAGAGTTAAACAAGCTAGTGTGACGATAAAATTTTTTGAGGACAATGAGTAGAAGATTGGAATACTTGGATTGTCCCAAGTCTTATGTCTTCACACTGCCGAATTGGCAATTCATGTGGGAGTATGATGGACTACTTGCTATCAGTTCTACCAAGCCTCTTTCAGCTGCAGCTAAGATTGGAATGATCCTTTGATTAGTGTAAGTCCTCTGGCAATGGTGATCAATTTGTTTCAACTGGATTATTGTTCAACAAATGTGCACGTAACAGTTCCCAGCTCCGTTCAAGCATGCTTGATGATGGGATTTGTTATTGGATTCCAAGTTTGCTTCTGATATTTTTGGAAGTGAGTAGTTTAATTTCCAGTGGACTGTATCTGCTGCGCATCAAGTTTATCTGGCAACTCGAAGGATGGTGAACAAGCAGGAAGGCATGTATGTGATGTATGCGACTGAGCCATTTTAATCATGGAAGGCCTGTATACCTGACAGTTGACTTTTGGTGGTAAACTACTCAAATTCCTCCACGTTTGACTGTAGTGCTCTTATCTGTAAGTTGTAACAGATCATTTCTTTACGAAAATAAATGCAAAAGAGCATCTGTAGGGAGTTCTTCATTGTATGAACAAGAATTCCTATACATGGATTACATTACATGAAAGAGGAACTGACAACTTTTCATTCAAACCCTACTGTGTGCTTGCTTGTCCGTCGGTTTTGTTGTGCTTGTATGTATAAGGATAGCTAGCAAGTTAACGTGCCTTTGGAAAAGAATTGACGTTTAAAATTATTCTTGTGGCTTCATGAGTGAATGCTGTGTGGCTTCCACTTGCACTTAAAAAATATTTTTTCATCATCAATTTTTATATATTATCTATTTCTTAAAATTTTAAAAAATAAATTAAAAAATTATTTTAAAAATATAGAGACTAATTAATTAATTTTGACACTAGAAAGGTTATTTTTTTTGTTTTGCAAAATTAGAAAGACTGATTTATAATTTAATCTAGAAAATATTAGTTAGCCCGATTGAACATGGAATATAAACTCAGGCACGACAATTTCATCATATTAGTCATTTGTCGGCTATCTTAGTTGAGTTGTTTTATTTACTTTGATTGAATATGGAATGATTTTTATTAATTATAAATTATGAAAGCAAAAATTTGAAGAAATTTTAATGTCGTCAAAGGCCAAAAATAATAAAATAAAATAAATCTAAAATTATTAAAGTTGTTATGAAATAATGAATGTTTATCTACTTTTCATATCCTTATTACTCGTGATTTTTAATAAGAGAAATTAAAAGGGTGATGCAATTGATTATTCATAGTCCATTCCAATTCTCTTCTCAAATTTGAGGCTTATAAATATGCTTGATTGTTCATTAATTGGTGTATAAGCATTTTGTAGAGATTGTGATAATTGTTTAGAGTTGTTGTCTCTTATATTCTCTATATAGTGAAATCATTTCTTCATCATTTTTCTCTTCGATTCTCATACTATTTCTATTTCTTTTATAACATGTTATCAACACGAAGCTCTAACCAATCGAGACAATAGATCATGAGGTATGTATCTACCAAAAGATTTAATCAATTATTTCAACTATTGGATTTCTTCTACATAAGTGCTCTACCAAAAGATCTAAATTATTTAGATCATTAAGAGGTATGTATCTAATTTATCATGTACTTTAAATATAATGATATATAAAATATACATTTGAAAAACTTAATGATTTAATATATAGAATCTAATGATCTAATATATGTTGTTTGAAAATCTTTAATTTTATTATTATGTTTGTTCTTATTTTCTAATATTATTATTATATATTACACTATAGAATTTTTATCATATCAAACCTCATAAACCTGATTTTGTGGCTCTTGATATTTCGAATAAGAATTATTGATTATGAGTGCTTGATTCTAAAAAATATTCTCTACTTTTTATGTCTTGAATATGCTCATGCTCGTAGCAATATGGAGAAAATGAATTTAAGAAATATTCTGAATCGATTTCATATTTGCTCATGGCTAAATAAAATGACAAGCTATTGATGAAAAGGAATAAATCTCATCCAATTGGATTTACTTCATTCCTTGAAGTGAATGTAACAACTTATAATAATTTTGAGCATGAAGAAAGATGTGGTTAATTATTGAAATAGAAATAATTATCATTATAATTATGATAACCATAATATTACATCTCACCACTAAAAGTGAATAACTATTGAAAAAAAAAAGAATAAAAATAGATAAAGTCGGTATTCGAAAAATAAATATTATCGATGTGGAATGAATGAATATTGATCATGTACATGTCGTACACCAAAACACCTCATTAAGCCTTATCAAGCCTTATTGAAAAATAAATAGTAAAATATGAAGGTCACTTTTAAATATCAAAATAATAGTAACTAAAATTAATTACTTGTTAGTTTTTCTATTTATAAATAAAATATTTTATATTTCTTATAATATCGTATAGTGATGGTTACAAATTTATTTTACTATTTATTTATTTGTTTATGTTTATGAAGAATATATTTATTTAATTATTTATTTTATGTTAATATTATATATGATAATATCAATCTAATAGAAAGCTCGAGAAGAATGATTATATTATGACTTGAAGAGCAATATTTTAAAGCTCTAGAAGAGTGGATATATTATTACTTGAAGAGATAACGTTTAAAGGCTTTAGAAGAGTCGATATATTATTACTTGAAGTGACATAATTTAAAGGTTTCGGAAAAGCAAATATATTATTATCCGAAAGGATAAATTTATTATTAATGATGTACTCGTTTTCTTCAAAGTCTCATAGAAATTTATTGAGTTTCAAAGATACTCATCTAAATTGATATTATAGCAAGATAACAAATGTGAATACTTATATATTATTATCATTATACCGGGTACAAAATATGTATTGAAAAATTTATTCGTTTTCTCTTCTAGTCTTTATTACAAATTTTGAAATGATTGAAACAAATACTACAGTAAACTAGAAGGTTTACTAATTTAAATACTTTATTATGTGGCATAGCTAATCGTGTTATCTTACATCTTTCATGATACAAAAAATCATTAAAAATTCATATGGACATCTATTGAAAAGCTAGAAGATTCTTCAATTTAATAAATTTTTCATGTTACGTATGTTGTCAAGACAAATTGATGATTAAGCCATTGCTAAGTAAAATTGAGATTGAATCTTCGGTATTTTTAGAATGTATTCGAGGTGATATATGTGAATCAATTCATCCACCATGTGGACCATTTAAATATTTTACAATTTTAATAAATGCATCCACAAGATGATCATATATATGCTTATTATCTACTCAAAACCCGACGTTTTTGAGATCACTAGCAAAAAATTTGATTTCGCATAATTTTCAGATTATGTCATTAAAATAAGTTACCTTGATAACGCCGATGAATTTATTTCTCAAGAATTAAATTATTATTGATCGGCTATAAGAATAAAGATTAAATAACATGTTACACATGTTCATACTAAAAAAGGTTTAGCAAAAATTATTTATCAAAAGGCTCCAATTGATAGCTAAACTATTATTTAAGAATAAAACTTTCCGTTTATATCCGGGGACATGCAATCTTACATGCGACAACACCGACTCACATCGGACTTATAAGTTATCGAAATTCTCTCTTTTTCAATTAATTTATGATCATGAGTCGGATAATTTTTATTTAAGAATTTTTAGCATTACGAGTGTATATTCGTAATGCTCCTTCATAACGAAATAAAATGAGCACTTAAAGGAGATTGAGAATATATGTTGGATTTGAATTATTTTTTATAATTAAATAAATTGAATCATAAATAAGTAATATTTTTACGAACTTGATTTATCGATTATCATTTTGATAAAATAGTTTTCCCAATATTAGAGGAAGAGAATAAATAAAATAAGCAATTAAAAATGTTGAAAAAAAGAAATTATATAGAATACTCTATCTTTATATCAATTTAGTATAAAACGATGTGAACTAGAGTTCGAAGATAATTCGTTTACAAGGTCTTACAAACCAACTGCTAGATGCATTCTCATATCCTAAAAGAGTAACTAAAATGCATGTCATTATTGAGAATGCTTCTATTAGAATTGATGTGCTAAAGGGACGAGTATATTAATATTATAGCTAATGAATCTAAAGCACGCTTGAAACGTGAAAGATCGATTGGTTTTAAAGATAAAAATCTCAAAAAGAAAAGGGCAAGATAAAAATATAAAAGATGAAAATATTTACAAAACGATCCAAGATATTTATGATAATATGCTTCTAGAAGAAGTCTAAATTCTTGAGAAAAATTAAGAGATTTTGATCAATTATGTCAATATAGGGAGAAAATAGGACCGAAAAGAAACATTTATTGATAAGATTTTTGTATATAATATTGCAATTGATATTTTGAATGAAAATAACAATCATGAGCCGAAATTATTGAAGAATGTTGATATAAAGATGATTGGCCTAAATGAAAAAGCAATCCAGGCAGAATTATATTCTCTTATAAAAAAGTAATTTTTTTGAACCCATAGCTAAAACACTCGAAGATGTTAAACTAGTATGATAAAAATATGTATTTATGCAAAAACAAAATAAGGAAGATAAGATTGTAAGATACAAAGCAAGACTTTTAACACAAAAGTTTCACAAAGAACTGGCATTAACTATAAGGAGACATATTCTCCTATAATTAATGCAATTATATTTTGTTATTTCATTAGTCCGGCAAAATATATGAAAAACATTCATATACATGCATTTATTGAATGTGATCACGGTTTATTTGTTCATTTGAAATGATATTAATGTGAAAAGTCATAGAATGACTTAACATGCCGACGAGCATATAATCATATTCTCGAGAAAATTAATTAAATTATAGAGATTTCTATTAGAATTATTTTAATATTTGTTTTATTATTTTAGTTTTTAGAAAATCATTTATACTATATTTTTTTATATTTTATTCTACTCGTTTATTACTATGCATGTGATATAATCACTTCAATGATTATTTATTGAAAGAAAGTTATAAAAAAAATCTTATTTTTTCATATATTTTTATTTGAAAAGGGATTTGTTGTATATGTTGATGACTTAAAATATTATTGGAACTCTTGAAGAGATTCCAAATGTTATAAGTTATCTAAAAAAGAGAATTTGATGTGAATACCTTAGGAAAACAAAATGTTATCTCGATTTACAGTTCAAGCACTCGAGAGAATGAGATTTTTATTTATCGACAATTTATATAGAAAAAGTTCTACAATGATTCTATATAAAGATCATTCATTGACTAGCCCAATGATAGTTCATTCACTTAATATCCAAAAAATCCTTTTTGACCTCGAGAAGATAACGAAGAACTACTTGATCTTGAAATACCATATCTTAATGCCACTGGTACATTGATATATCTTACTAATAATATTCAACTCGATCTATGCTTTTCTATAAATTTATTAGCAAGTCATAGTTTTGTTTCAATACGGAGACCTTGAAATAAAGTTAAATATATACTATGTTATATTCGAGGAATAATTTATATGAGTTTATATTACTTCAATAAATCAAAGATAAGATTAATTAGTTTTACGGATGTAGGTTATTTATCCGATTCACACAAAACTTGATCACAATCGGTTATATATTTACATATAGAGATACAACTATATCTTGGCGTTCTATGAAGCAAACTATAATCGTCACATCATCAAATCATGTAAAAATATCAATTCATAAGGTAAGTTGAGAATGTGTTTGGCTAAGATCCACAATCCATCATATCCGAGGGATATGTAGTTATCTATCAGTAAAAAAATTCCAATAATATCATATGAGAATAATGCTACTTGCATAATTCCATTGAAAGAAGAATACATCAAAGTGACAATCCAAGTAGATTTATTCATTAAAGCATTACCTACCATAACTTTTGAGAAGATTATTCACAAGATTGAAATGCATCATTTTAGAGATCTCAAATGATGTTTTCAACGAGAGGAGTCCAACATTGAAATTAATGTGTACAAGAAATATTGTACTCTTTTTCCTTCATTATGATTTTTTTTCACTAGGTTTTTTTCTAGTAAGGTTTTAAAGAAGCATGTTCATTGTACAATAGACATTCAAGGGAGAGTGTTATGAAATAATGAATATCCATCATCATGTTTATCTACCTTTCATATCCTCACTACTCATGATTCTTAATATGATTTAATTCATCATTTAATATGAGAAATTGAAAGGGTGATGCAATTGATTATTCATAGTCCTTTTCAATTCTTTTCTCAAATTTAAAGCCTATAAATAGGCTTGATTGTTCATTAGTTGTATCCACTGGGCTTTTTCTTAGTAAAGTTTTATGAGGCATGTTCCTTATACAATAGACATTCAAGGGGAGTGTTCTAAAATAATGAATGCTCATCATCATGTTCATCTACTTTTCATATCCCCATTATCGATGATTTTTAATATGATTCAATTCATCATTCAATATGAAAAATTAAAAGGGTGATGCAATTGATTATTCATAGTCCCCTCTAATTCTTTTATCAAATTTGAAGCCTATAAATAGGCTTGATTGTTCATTAGTTATATCCATTGGGTTTTTTCCTAGTAAGGTTTTAACGAAACACGTTCCTTATACAATAGACATTTAAAAGAGAGTGTTATGAGATAATGAATATCCATCATCATGGTCGTTTACTTTTTATATCCCCATTACTCATGATTCTTAATATGATTCAATTGATCATTCAATATGAAAAATTAAAAAGGTGATGCAATTGATTATTCATAGTCCTTTTCAATTCTTTTCTCAAATTTGAAGCCTATAAATAGGCTTGATTGTTCATTAGTTGTATCCATTGGGTTTTTTCTTAGTAAGGTTTTAACGAAGCATGATCCTTGTACAATACACATTTAAAGGGGAGTGTTATGAAATAATGACCGTCCATCATCATGTTCATCTACTTTTCATATCCCCACTACTCATAATTCTTAATATGATTCAATTCATCATTCAATATGAAAAATTGAAAGGGTGATGCAACCGATTATTCAGTCCATTCCAATTCTTTTATCAAATTTGAAGCCTATAAATAGGCTTGATTGTTCATTAGTTGTATCTATTAGGTTTTTTCCTAGTAAGGTTTTAACGAGACATGGTCCTTATACAATAGATATTCAAAGGGGAGTGTTATGAAATAATGACCGTCCATCATCATATTCATCTATTTTTCATATCCCCACTACTCATGATTCTTAATATGATTCAATTCATCATTCAATATGAGAAATTGAAAGGGTGATGCAATTGATTATTCATAGTCCCTTCTAATTCTTTTTTCAAATTTGAAGCTTATAAATAGGTTTGATTGTTCATTAGTTGTAGAGATTGTGAGAATTGTTTAGAGTTGTTATCTCTTATATTCTCTTTATAGTAAAATCATTTCTTTGTCATTTTTCTCTTCAATTATCCTATTATTTCTATTTTTTTAAAACAAAAGTTAATATATAGTAAAACTTTTCCTCTCTTTCTCTCTCTTTAGGGATCGAAGAAAAAAAAAATTCCAAATTCCTAACTTCTCCCTTACTTAACTGATATACATTTATCAAATCATAAAGTAGAGATCAATAATGGGATGGTTTTTTTTTTTTTTTTTTGACAAGGAAGATTAATATCGTTACTTAACCCCCAAAATTCAGATTTTTAGCACCTAACTCAGATTAAAACCGTTAAAGATTCGGTTCTATACCAAATCATCCGCGTATTAGATGTGCGTGTATCAATATTCATTTTCATGTCCTTCCTTTTTCTATATTTATTTTAGACATATTTACCAATTATTTGGACGAAGGAAGAAGGGAGTACAACTCCTTTCTAACATCACCGTGTCACATATGTGGTACATCCCCATCAATGTCACCATCTGGACCTATCAAAATCTTCCTGTCTCCTTGTTACTTGCTTGATGGTAGGACCCTCCAAATCCCCCCATAAAGAAACAACAGAGCAAATCAAGGTATCCTCATTCCTCAGCTGCCTGGAACCCTGTTAACTTTCTCTCACACTCTCTCTTGCTCACTTGCAATATGCAAAACCCTTTCCTACACTCTTCTAGATGTCTCTCTTTCCTTGAAAACTTCATCTTCTTTCTTGTTTTAGAAACCTTTTACTGGGGGATTTGCTGATGTTGCACCTCTTGTTTCCAACTCACAAACTGAGTCAATATAAACTGCACGGACATTAATCTTTGTAAGCTTTTGAACTCTTGATAATCAAGAATTATGTTTCCTTTATCAATTGCCAGTCAAAGTCCAGCTACAAAATTGTCTTCAGATTACCCAAAAATGCATATATTCCCTTCTAATAAGTTGTGTCGCTTGAAACCAGTTCTGTGCCCTTTTCACAACAAAAACCCCGACACCATTAACAACCCTGCAAAGTCCAACACTCATCCTTTTGGCTCCATTTTAATAGCCCCAGATCAAGCTTCTCCTAAGAAAGGCAAGATAAGTAGGGGATACGAGGAAAGGAGAGGTTTTGGCCAAGTGGGTAGCCAACAGATGCTGGTTCTTTGTGGGTTTGGGTATTGGATGCAGGGGTTTAGGTGCTTTCCTTGGCTTGCTCTCAACTTCCATATGGCTCACAATCTCAACTTGCATCCATCAACATTGCAGCTTTTGCTAAACTCTGGTAACCTTCCCATGGTGGCCAAGCCTCTTTATGGAATCCTCTCTGATGCTCTTTACATTGGAGGTGCTCATAGGATACCTTATATCCTAGTGGGAGGTTAGTTATCTTATATCTTCTTTGCTTTGTCTTAGTTTATGTTTTCAGTGTTCATTGCTTCTGTTTAAATTTGCTCTTAATTAATCATTTTGACAGACATTCTTTAAAATTTTTATGTTTTGAGCTTTTGCTGGATCCTATATATGTTTCTCAATTAGGCTGGATATGCAGTTAAATTTTCTTGGGCTTAGACTCTGGCTTTCTGCCTTTGCTTGAAATCACTCCCTTTTTTTCTTTTTTGTTCTGTAGCCATGCCTCACGATTCTTTTTGTGAATTTCCATGTCCATGCCTTCTGTGCATGTACAATAAAAAAAGATGAGGTACCTTAATTTATGTTAGATATAATAGTAGCTGGCTCTGGCCAGATAGTATCTCTTCTTATCAAGTAAATCTTTAAGAATACTAGAAGTTGACGGTCGATAGTAAATGGTGATAGTTTGTTTTTTCAGGTGTCTATTTTAAGACATTTTAGGGAATTTCTTGCAGAGCAAAAATAGGTAAAGATCCATAACGAGAGACAAGGGAAAATTGAAAAATTGAAAACTCAATTCTAAGCCTATTGTCATAATGAGTGTAAACTTGTCATATCCCAAATAATTTTTATGAATTAATATACCTGGTTGATGGATCAAGCTTACAAAAAATGCCAACGAAAGCGAAATTCTCAGTCTTTTTGCAGGTGCTGGCTTGGGGGCCACTGGCATTGATACCTGTTGCACAGGAAGCCCTTTCAATTCTCATGGCATGCATTCTTATCAGTAACCTCGGTGCTTCAATCACAGAAGTTGCAAAGGATGCACTTGTCGCCGAGTATGGCCAAAAAAACAGAATTGGAGGCCTCCAGTCTTATGCATTTATGGCTTTAGCAGTTGGTGGAACCCTAGGCAACTTGCTAGGTGGTTGTTTCTTACAAAAAACACCACCCAAAACCATGTTTCTTGTATTTTCAGTTCTGCTATCTCTTCAACTAGCAATTTCATCAACAGTGAGAGAGAAATCTCTTGGTTTATCAGAACCATCAGATCACAACCATTTGAAGAAATCAATTTGGGAGAATATCAGAAAACAGCTAAGTGATCTTAAAACTGCATTAAACGCTGACAACATTTCCTGCCCTCTCACTTGGATTGTAGCATCTATTGCTACGGTCCCGATTCTCTCGGGATCCATCTTTTGCTACCAAACACAGTGTCTACATCTTGATCCTTCAATTATTGGAATGTCACGCGTAATTGGCCAGTTGATGCTTCTTTCCATGACTGTACTCTATGACCGTTATTGGAAAGAAGTGCCTATGAGGAAATTGGTTGGTGTGGTCCAGTTTCTATATGCTTCTTCTCTTCTTCTGGACTTTCTTCTAGTGACACGGATCAATCTTAAACTGGGAATTCCCAATGAGGTATTTGCCTGTTGTTTTTCGGGTTTAGCAGAAACACTTGCACAATTTAAGCTCCTTCCTTTTTCAATGCTATTGGCGAGTTTATGTCCTCAGGGTTGTGAAGGATCCCTTGCCTCTTTCTTGGCATCATCATTGTGTTTATCATCAATTGTCAGCGGGTTCTTGGGTGTTGGGTTAGCTTCTCTGATTGGAATAACATCTGATGATTACTCGAGCCTGCCAGTGGGAGTTTTGATACAGTTCCTTGCTGCATTATTGCCCTTAGGATGGATTCATCCTGTACCCATGTCCCAACCCATTTCTGAGAAGGAAAGAAAGCCAGGTATGGGTTAAAAAAACATGGAAAAATAGAAGGTTTGGAAGAGTGGTGTTTGGCTCTAGTTATGTTTACCGGCGTGAAAGAGATTATGATTCACAGAGATAAACTAGCTAGTGTGACAATAAAATTTTTGAGGACAATGAGCCGAAGATTGGAATACTTGGATTGTCCCAAGTCTTATGTCTTCACACTACCGAATTGACAATTCATGTGGGAATATGATGCACTATTTGCTATCAGTTCTACCAAGCCTCTTTCAGCTGCAGCTAAGATTGGAATGATCCTTCGATTAGTGTAAGTCCTCTGGCAAAGGTGATCAATTTGTTTCAACTGGATTATTGTTTAACAAATGTGCACGTATCAGTTCCCAGCTCCATTCAAGCATGCGTGATAATGGGATTTGTTATTGGATTCCAAGATTTGCTTCTGATATTTCTTGAAGTGAGTAGTTTAATTTCCTGTGGACTGTATCTGCTACGCATCAAGTTTATCTGGCAACTCGAAGGATGGTGAACAAGCAGGGAGGCATGTATATGATGTATGCGACTGAGCCATTTTAATCATGGAAGGCCTATATACTGGATGGTTAACTTTTGGTGGTAAACTACTCAAATTCCTCCATGTTTGACTGTAGTGCTCTTATCTGTAAGTTGTAACAGATCATTTCTTTACCAAAATAAATGCAAAAGAGCATCTGTTGGGAGTTCTTCATTGTATGAACAAGAATTCCTATACATGGATTACATTACATGAAAGAGGAACTGACAACTTTTCATTCAAACCCTATTGTGTGCTTGCTTGTCCCCAATTGTCTTCCATCGGTTTTGTGGAGTTTGTATAGGATGGTTAGCAAGTTAACGTGCCTTTGGAAAAGAATTGACGCTTAAAATTATTCTTGTGGCTTCATGAGTGAATGCTGTGTGGCTTCCACTTGCACGCTGCTGTATCTTTCATTATTTACTTCTGGGAAATCTGGAAATAATTCTCTGTTGTTTGAATACTGGTTGGGCTAAAAATGAAGGACTAACAAGGGGTTCAATAATGCCACCGGTCAATCTTCAACAATAAAATTTGGAAGTAGGCTCAGCTTCTGCCTGGCATAGTATGTAGAACCTTAAGTTAATAGTTAATTAAATCAAATTCGTTAAATTATTTATGGCGAATAACTATTTAGAATAGGTATTTATTAAGTATAAAATCGGAAAAATACCAAGAATGGATTTTTTGATGACATAAGAGGAAATTTTGCAAAGAATCATACAGATAATTTTTTTTTTTTTTTTACTGATATACCTGATTCCTAATTAGGAAACCTCTATGAACAAGATAAAAGAGCGAATTCTTTTTCCCCAAAATTCAATTGGGCAGGGTAAATAATAAAGAAAACGAATTTCATCTTCGTTTTCTTGCTTTCATATTATATTATAACAAATTTTAGTAGAATTTATAAGCAGAAGAAACTCTTTATTAAATTAAAATTATGAAATTCAAGTTATAAGAGCCATTTTGTCATGGACAGTATCCTGCACTTTGTTTTTAACAGGGAGTAACCAACATATGAGCCTGCTGGTGAGAACTTTCCACGTCCACGATGGACAGCTCAAACTCAAGTAGATGGAAGTCTTTTGATTGTGAAAGAAACTCAAGAGTCAAAGGATAGGAAGTTATTTGGGTACGAGGCGACCAAGGCTACTACTATCAACTCACTGCTGAGGTAATATGCGTTGAAGTATTACAGCATCTTTGAACTTCGATCCCAATCTCCCTGGTTATTAATGGTCCTGTTTTGGCCAAACCACCTCAGTTTTTACCTCAAGAAGCCTTGGCACCTGCCTCCGTAACGGTTCTACAACTTAAGAAGAGCAACTTCAATTAAAGGCTGCTGAAAATAGTTTGGGTTCTGCCTCGTGGTGCTATTAATAAATCCTATAGCTTAGGTGGATGCTGGAGGGTTGACTGGTTGAGGGTGCACAGCAGAGGGGAGGGGCCAGTTGAATAGAGAAACCGATATTATGAGCAAGAAATGGAAACATGAAAATTCCTTATATTATTCCAGGCAGAGTTTTGTTGACTAATCCACACTTCTCTAACAAATTTGGCAAAGTGAAGGAGTCTGTGAATCTCAACCTGAAGCCGCATTTATAAGAACCTTATGGATCACTAACAACCAATTTCAGCTTCTTCGCAAGTTTTTGTGCTCCAACAATCTTGTCGCTAGATGTTTTGAATATTTTACTTACCAAAAAGATAAAAAAAGTTGTAAACCCCAGCACTGTCTAGCACTGTTTTGAATTAGGTGCCACTAGCAGTTCGGCATGTCTAAAGGTCTTGTCCGCACTCCTATTGTTTCATTAATTTGATAAAGAAATTAGCGCCGGAACTAGGATGGTCTTTGTCCAAACTATCAATCCACACAGCTAAACTTGAAACAACTTGGACAGTTTGAGAATACATGCAAAATTCACCTGCAAGGGGGGAAAAAAAGAATACGAGTAAATACATAGATTTCAATTATCAGCAGGATTGTTTGCAAAAGTAAAAGGACTAGGAATTCCCAAATCCGAAAATAAATGCTTTCCACAATGTACGTAAATTTTCTATGAACCCTTTTTTTCCTGTCCAAGGCAATTTTATTTTAAGCATTTAATGAATGATCGGAAGGCTGATGCACTTGATTTGTTCTGAATTAGCAGTAGCACGTCAAATTATGACGATACAAAACCTATAGAAAGAAATAGCATACAAACCTGAAAGACAAAATTTTTCAGCAAATATTTCGAGAGATATAACTATTAACAGCAATCGAGTCTCGATCATTTGGCAAGTGAATGCATATTTGTGGCACCGTATGGCTTACGCAAGATATCCTCAATAGTCAAGGGATACAGAAAACAGTACATCGATATCAGGACACCCATGTCAAATCTTCAAAATCATGAGAAACAGCAGCTCCTTTCATCAACAATATGAGGCCATCCAGCAGTTCATATATACGCTTGGAACAAGGATGCAGTTTATCAGCAGCATAGAAGAAATGAGTAGCGTTATTAATGCTTATCCAACTGCACCCAGGAGTTTTTGTTAAGCTCCTTTCTTTCATCATTGTTCTCACCTCAGATACAACATCCCATCTCCTGGAAGACGCATGTAAATTTGAAAGCAAGACATAATTTGATGGGTTTTCAGGTTCTAACTGAATAAGGAACCTATAAGCCAGATCCTGCATCTCAGAATTTCCATGGATTATTGAAGCACTAACAAGAGCCCCCCAAACACTTGGACTAGGTTCCATTGGCATAGTTTTAATAAAATCTAAAGCCTGGCCAAGCTGACCTGATCGGCCTAACATATCCACGACACAAGCACAAATCTCAACCGTTGGCTCGATTCTATATTCATTTATTGCAGATTTATAGATGCACAGGCCTTCATCTACCAATCCTGCCCGGCCACAAGCAGAAAGAACCCCTATGATAGTCATCATGTCTGGTTTATTCCCAAGCTGAAGCATCTTGTTGTATACAAAGACAGCTTCCTCTCCCTTCCCATGCAATCCATAGCCAGAAATCATTGAACTCCAAGATATTAGATCCCTACGAAAAGAACCATACTCAAAGACTTGCTTTGCACGATCCAAGCTCCCACACTTGGCATACATGTCGATCAAAGCATTACATAAAGAAACATCCTTATTAAATTCCTTCCTAATGGCGTATCCATGAATTTGTTTCACACCAATTAAACCAGCAACTGCGCTGCAAACAGGAAGAATGCTTACAAGCGACACTTTATTAGGTTCTACTCCATCTCTCTCCTGCATTTGATGAAAAAGAACCAGTCCTTCTTCTAGAGCTCCATTCTGCACATAGCCATTTATCATTGCTGTCCAAGCATAAACATTTCTACTCTTCATTCTGTCAAACACCCTTCTACCCACATCAACTTTATTACTCCTCGAATACATACCCATCAAGCAACATCCCAAATGAAATTCCAAACCCAAACCCAATTCATTTCTCACTGTAAACCCATGAAGCTCCCTGCCATGATCCCTTTTGCCCATATCCCCATTACACAAAGTCAAAAGACATGAAACTGTAAATACATCAGGTTTTAACCCCTCAATTTGCATATCTTTAACAAAACCTGACATCTCCGTATCAAAATTATGATCCCCGGAATCCGCATATCCTGATATAACAGCATTCCAAGAACCCACATTTCTATCAGGCATTTCATCAAACAGTTTTAAACATTCTCCAAATTCCCCACATTTGCTATACATTGACATAAGAGAATTGGCAACTATAACATCCAAAACACACCCAATTTTTAAACTTTTCCCATGAATCAATTTCCCTGCATTCAAGTCACCAATCTCACTGCAAACTTTTGACATCGTTGCAAGGGTATAATCATCAAGCAAAACACCACGGCAACACATTTGATAAAACCGACCAAAAGCTTCACTATAAGCATGATTTTTCACACACCCATTAATCAATGAGTTCCATAGATAAACACTCTTGATTTGGAGCGAGTCAAAAACGAGATGGGACTGAGTTGGGACACCAAATATAGCATATGCAGAGATGAGTTTTGTGGCCAAAAAGGGGTTTTGAGTGGAACCAAGAGAGAAAATTCGAGCATGGCATTGTTGGGTAAGTTTAAGAGATTTGTGGGTTAGTGAGAGATGGAGTGAATCAAGGAGATTTTGAGCTGAAAAGACCAGAGTGGCAGAATGGTAATAACGGGAGCTTCTGAGGCTAACTGTCTTCAATACAGAGAAGAGGGTCATTTAGAGCTCCGGAGTTTGTTTTGAATTTGGCGGGTGATTCTTATAAGAGACTGTACAGAAAGAATCAGTAAATTATAAATTATTCACCCTACTTTTTAAAATAATAATTAATTAGCATTTTTACGATATTAATCATATGTAGTTTAGTATTTTTTTATTTTTTAAAATATTTTTTTATCATCAATTTTTTTATATTATTTATTTCTTAAAATTCAAAAACAAAACAAAATAAATTAAAAATTATTTTAAAAATAGAGAGTAATTAATTAGTTTTAAAACTGGAAAGATTATTTTATTTGTTTTGCAAAACTAAGAAGACTAATTTATAATTTCATATAGAAAAAATTAGTTGTCCTGATTGAATATGGAATATTAACCTAGACATGACAATTTCATCAGATTAGTTGTTCATCGTTCATCGTCTATCTTGGTTAAGTTGTTTTATTTACTTTGATAGAATTCGAAATAAAAATGAAAAAATCCGACCTGTTTAAGTTTGATAGATTGCAAAGAGTTTAAGATTCATTTCTCTGTCAATGGACTCGATATTGAACTTTTCTTTTTTTATTGTAATGTTTACGTCAACATATTGTTGCAAAATTAGTGAAAACAATTTAGAACCTTATCTTTTCTTAGGAAAATAAATTATTTTTTTATGATGTTAGTACATGTATTTGGAATTTATAATTTATAATTTTTTGTTTGGCAAGAATTCGAGTATTATTTCTATAAAAAAAACAAATGTGAATGCTAGCTATATATACATTGTTTACGTCCAAATTCCTTACTTTAATTTTTTAGGATGTGATGTTGTTAGGGACATTAAAAGATGTATGTTTTATCATGAATACTTATACCGGTCACTAATGGATGATGAAACAATGTCATTTATAACATTTAAGCCATTCTAGTTGAAAATCAAACTGCTTGAAAAATTAAGTTAAAGAACATAATCCTAAAATAAAAAGATAGATTTTTAGTTTTTATTAAATTAGACCGAGAGAAAAATTAATTACTCTATTTCCTAATTTTACATTTTCTTAATTTTAAATATTTTTCTTCACATTAATTTGTCTTTAATATACAAGGGACTTTTTCCTAGTATTTTTGAAAAAAAAAACTACTATTATTAATAATAATTACATGAACTCGCTCGAAGTTATATAGTAACCGCACTATCAATATTGCGATAAATTATTCTATTCATACTTTGTTAAGAAATTCATTCTCGCTTCATAAAACATTGTTGAAATGTGCATGGTGATATGCATGGAATAGTAACATGATGAATTGAGAGTAGAGTTAGTTATACGCACCATGCACACCGTGTGTTTGTTGTATTGATTGACTCACACGGACTCGAAGAGTGCCGGTTGTCAATCGATCCAAGAAGCTCGGAGTCGGGAAAATTCTTTATGTCGAGACCCGCATCAACCAATGATGAGCACGTAAGGAATGATTCGGTTAGATAGTTTGTTATTTAATTTTCTTATTGTAAATATTCTAGAACATACATCGTTGTATTTAAAAGAGAAACTCATCGAATTGTAAATGATGATTTTTGAATCATCAATGCAAATACATTTCTCTTCTCTCGTGCTTCTCTATGTTGCTATATCTCATTCCTCTATTTTAACATGATATCGGAGCATAAGATCACAATCCAATAACCTCTATTCAAACCTTGCATTTCATCCTTACTTTTCTATAAACATGAGCACCGAAGAAAACACAACAAACAATGCACCCGGACCCAATGTAGCACCAGATCATTGATTTCACAAATCCATTTCACATTCATGCTTCGACACACCAAATGTAGTGTTAGTTTCAAAAGAGTTGGAGCTAAAAGGCATGAAGAATTATGGAGTGTGGTCTAGAGTTATGAAGATTTCTTTAGAGGCAAAGAATAAATATGGCTTTGTTGATGGCATATGCGAGAAACCGGACCCAACTTCACCCTTATATGCACATTGGGTGAGATGCAATGCTATAGTGTTTGCATGGTTGTTAAATATAGTATCACAAGAGATTTATAATGCCATGGTTTACTACAAATCAGCTGAAATGGTATGGAAAGATCTCAAAGAAAGATTTGACAAGGTCAGTGGACCTCAAATGTTTGCTATCCATAGAGAGATCTCACACACCATGCTCATTCAACATAAGTTCTCAAGCCCTAACAAAACACAAATTCTCGGTCTTCATTTTCTAATGTCATGTTAGTTTCTAGAGTTGTCAGTAATAATGCTTTTCAATCAAGTTGTAATGCAATCTCTCAATCAATAAAGAACAATATTTGGCATATAAGATTTGAGCATGCTAGCAACATGAGATTTAAATTTCTACCAAGCATTGAAAAATATATCTAATCATGAAAGAACACACTCGTCCCATCCGTCAATTAGCAAAACTAACCGGACTACCTTTTCTTAAATCACCAACCGAAACAAAGAACACCTTTGAACTATTACATCTTGATATTTGGGGACCCTATAGAACACCTACACACAATGGAGCTAGATATTTTCTTACAATAGTTGATGATTATTCAAGAGGACCATGGACTTTTTTACTAAATTTCAAAAGTGATGCCAACATTACTATCAAGAATTTCTTCCATCTCATCAAAACACAATTTGACAACACTATCAAGAAAATCAAAACAAATAGAGCAAGGGATTTTTTGAATCATGAATGTAAACAATTTTTGGAAGGACAAGGAGTCATTCATGAAAGAACCATACCTTATACACCACAATAAAATGGTAGGGTAGAAAGAAAACACGGACATATACTTAATGTTGCTAGATCTCTTATGTTTCAATTGAATGTGCCAATAGAGTTTTGGGGAGATTGCATTCGACGGTTACATATTTGATAAACAGAGTTCCTACCCGTCTTTTGAATTACAAAACTCCTTACGAAATGATTTTTGGTCAAACACCTAAGATAAATCATTTAAGAGTTTTTGGAACCCTTTGTTATGTAAAAACCTTGAACAATTCGACAAATTCAATCCAAGATCAAAACCATGTGTATTTATGGGATACCTTTTTGGACAATCTGGTTATAGAGTCTATGACATACATTCAAAGAAAATTTCTATGTCTAGAGATATCTTATTCTATGAAAATGTGTTTCCTTTTAAGTTAGAATCACATAACTCAACTCAAAATCAAAACCTCTTTAATGATTTTCTATTTGATGAGTCGGTTTCAAAATCAAATCTCACACCCACACATTCCGTTGTCAACACATAAGTACCAATTCCTCTACAACCAACCATTTCTTTTTGAAACCGATTTCCATAATACCTCACCCTCTTTGTCGAACATGAAACACAAAATGATATGAATCTAAGAAGATCTACTAGAATAACCCAACCACTCGGTTTGGTCCAAGTGATTATCAATGCACTACCATCCCCGGAAGCAACTCAATCACAACAAGAAAGAAAAGTAATTACCCTATCACAGATTATATAACCTATGAACACCTACCATCTACATACAAGACATACATATCAAACCTAGCCGAGTGTTACGGAACCAAATACATACCGAAGGAAAAACAAGACCCTAAATGGATTGAAGCTATGTAGAATAAAATGTAGGCATTAACTCTTAATAAGACACGGGTTCCGGTAACGAGTGCCGGAGGGGAAGAAACTAATAGGATGCAAGTGGGTGTACAAGGTGAAATACAAGTCGGATGGCAACATTGAAAGATACAAAGCAAGGCTAGTTGCTAAGGGATACACTCAAAAGGAAGGAATTGACTACAAAGAGACCTTTTCACCAGCTATCAAGATGGTGACAATAAGGTCTATTATTGCTTTAACTACTGTGAAAGGTTGAAAACTAATACAAATGGATGTCATGAATGCCTTTCTACAAGGAGATCTAAATGAAGAGGTGTATATAACAATTCCGGAGGGGTTTGAGATTAAGGGGGAGCAGAAAGTTTACAAGTTGCTTAAGTCACTATATGGCTTAAAACAAGGCAACAGACAATGGAACATGAAATTTTATGAGGCTATTTTGCAAGCTGGATTCAAGCGAGTCACTCAATGACTACTCACTCTTTGTAAAGAAGAATGGTGGAAAAATGGTTACTCTACTTGTGTATGTAGATGACATTATCATCACAGGAGATGATGAAGAAGAGATAACGACTCTAAAGACTTTTTTGCATAAGAAATTTCATATAAAGGATCTTTGTGACTCGAAATACTTCTTAGGGATAGAGGTAGCAAGATCGAAAGAAGGCATATGCTTGACACAAAAGGAAATACATTCTGAAACTACTTGAAGAAACCGAAATGATTAATGCTAGGCTTCTAGACACACCAACGAGCAGAAGATCTAAAACTCACCATAACGAGTTTGATGAAGGAATTAAGGCGGATGTGGGGGATCCAGAGATAGCGGACCCTACAAGTTATCGGAGGCTTATAGGGAAGCTCATATATGTTATAATCACTAGGCCGGACCTCTCCTATGGTGTTCATCTCCTAAGCCAATTCATGCATAGGCCAAAGCAGTCACATTTGGCGACGACTCACGTGGTCCTAAGATATCTAAAAGGAGATTCGGAAATGGGATTGATGATGTCTTCTACAAGCCAAATGAAACTAAAGGTGTACTCGTGATTCAAATTGGGCATCATGCTATATGACAAAGAAATCGGCTTTAGGATTTCTTGTCAAGTTAGGGGATTCTACAATATCATGAAAGACAAAGAAGCAAAACACTATCTCCAGAGTTATCGGCAGAATCGAATATAGGGCAATGGCAAATGCGAGTGTCCGAGATAATGTGGATAGTGAGGTTATTTGAAGATTTAGGAGAGGAAAGCTTAAAGCCAAGCAACACTACATTGTGACAACAAGTCGACTCTATTCATTGCTAGCAATCCGATCTTTCATGGGAGAACAAAACATATAGTCTTGGATTGTCACTTAGTAAGGGAACAACTTAACAAGTGGTGGTCTACTTGTCACTAAACACATACATACGGATAAGTAACCGGCAGACCTCCTTACAAAGGTCTAGGCAAGTAAACAACACAAACACTTATTAACCAAGTTTGGCATTAGAAACATATATACTACTCGTCAAACTTGAGGGGAAGTGTTGAAATGTGCATGTGCAATGTGTGCGTGTGGGAAATATGTATGGTGATATGCATGGAATAGTAACATAATGAATTGAGAGCGAGAGTTAGTTATACGCACCATACGCACCAAGTGTTTGTTGTATTGATCGACCCACATGGACTCGAAGAATGCCAGTTGTCAACCGATCTAAGAAGCTCGGAGTCGGGAAAATTCTTCATGTCGAGACCCGCATCAACCAATGATGAGCACACAAGAATTATGCGGTTAGATAGTTTGTTATTTAATTTTCTTATTGTAACTATTCTAGAACATACATCGTTGTATTTAAAAGAGAAACTCACCAAAATTGTAAATGATGATTTTTGAATCATCAATGCAAATAAATTTCTCTTCTCTATGCTTCTCTATGTTGTCGTATCTCATTCCTCTATTTTAACAAACATGTTTTATTTTTGAAGAAAACAGAGAATGTTCTCTTTTCCTATATATATATATATATATCCATAATATTTTCCACTTCTTCCTTAGATTCGAATTAGGGATGACATTATACAGGATCTTCGATCCATTAATTTAATTTTTTTACCATATTCATCAAAAGAATATTTTACTTATTATTTATTAAAAAATCATTATATAAATCTTTATCCAGATCCATACCGACTTATGTTAGTTTACACTTTCATTTAATATCCATTAAATACATGTTAAATTTAATTTATTAAAAATATTTATTTTAATTCTTATAATTTTTAAGAAAATTTTTGTTATCCTTAAAATTTATTTATTGATTGCATTTTGATCATTTATTTATAAGTTTTTTAGTTCTCAAAGTTTCGAAAAAAATATCTTAAAACTTAATTTTTAAATTTTATGCAATTAAATATCTAAATATTAACAAAAATCTAAATAAAATAATAAGTATTAATAGAATAAATCCATACTCTGAAACTAAATTAATAAATATGTATTTTTTATACTTATCTATTTTAATATTTATTAAATATTCTTTAAAAAATATTTATTAAATTGAATAAAACGAATCCAAAATCCCGACCCATTCTTATCCCACCTTAGCATTCTTTCCAAGTCGTTTTCATGGATTTAGCTGCTTTCTAGTTTGATAGATGAGAAAAAAATCTAAGATGGATTCTGACATATATAGTACTCTTCGAAAAAGAGACCTGTCGCTTTCTCTTTCTCATCTAGATTAATTCCATCCTTGATGGAATCTTAACGTGATCATCTTTGTGAGAAGTGGGTTTGGATTTAGCAGAAGATTGAGAAAAATAATTTTATGTGAATGCACTAATTCATAAATAATAATTTGCATAAAATATTATCAAAAATTAATTTCAATACGTAAAACTACTTGAATATTATAAACATTAAAATGAAACAACAAATCAGGGAATTGTTAGACATTAATCAAGAGAATAAAATCAATAATATTAAATAGGAAAACAACAAAAATATTCCCAAACTGCCATCAAACAGTTTTTTTTTTTTTAAAAAAAATTCCATTAAGAAACGATATAATTTCATAGCGAATTTAAGGTCATCTACTAAGCAATTCTAACATTAGTCGTAATTAAAAAATCAAAATAATTTAATAATAAAAAAATATAATTTAAATGTAATAATACCCTAATAATTTGGAGATATATCATGATCTTTACCCAACTAAATAAGAAATGATACTTTGATTACATATCCCATACCCACCAAACCACAACAGCATGTCAAAATTGTTACAAAGCATAATTTTATGTTAGGAGGGTGGAAGACAAGGGAATGAGATAGCAAATCAGAAAAGATAACATATGAAATAAGTGGAACTGAGAGAGAATCTAGTTCCAATCTTAACATGGGATCACCGATTGACATAAATTGATTAAATAAGATGAATTTTGCTTGTGTCATTAGATCCTTTCTTTTTTGTTGCAAAGAATATGATGACAAAGATAATCAAAAGGACAACACGGATTGTACTAGATTGGAAGCACTCCATAATCACATTTATTTTTTATTTTTTTAACTGGGAGTGACTGGGCTGTTTTTACTTTTTACAACTTGTATATAACCATTGAATTTAATCAAATCAGACAGAAGTAGAGAAAGTTTTATAAAATTATCATTATAACCTCCCTTTCCCCTAAATCTGGTGCTAAAAAGTGTAAGAAATATGGTGGTCTGGTCTAAAGGGGCGACGTCCGGAATTTAAAACCTTGCAAAAATTAAATAGATTATTTTTCTCCTTTTTTCTGATACAGGCAATGCTCCTTTTATTAGATATAGGTCTTCTCAATATTTGGATTCTGTAATTTTTTTTTTAAAAAAATTTATATTAAGATTTTTTATTTTTTTATTTGATTGAAAAATTTTATTTTCAATATTTATTGCTTCAAACTCTTTATTATAATGCTACTGATCAATAATTGATACGTAATCAAAATTTTTTAGTTTACAATACTACTAATTGATCATCAATTGATAACGTTATAATAAAAAATTTTAAATAATAAATTTCTATACAAGGTTGTCACACGTTGCATTCGAGAAGCATCCATTTTCCCTAAGTTACAAATATTCATAGTTTCATTTTAATGGGATCGAAAAATTGGAGTGAATTTAAGTGTACGAACTAAATTAGAATGAATTTAAGTGTAAGAAATAATCTGATAAATAATATAATTCTAAAACATAAAAAATGATGACAATGATCAAGTGAAGGTTGAACCTAAGGGGATTGATCGAATAATTAAGTGGACTCCCTCTTTAATCTCTATGGTTCTGATACTTTGTATTATAAGATGAGGAATTAAATCAATTTTCATTTTCATGAATCTTCTAATTTTAATATGGTTGATCGACCTTTGATTTGAATCAAGTAACTGAATTTAAGTTTGATATGTGAAAATTGGTCCAAAGGTAGCACCTTGTCACAGGGGAAATAAAGAAGAAGAAGAAGAAGAAGATGGTGAAAAGGTGAAGGATGATGAATAATTTGTGCTATCAAAGTTCCATAATCCTGCGCAAATAAGAGTAGTAAATCGTAGAAAAGCAAAATTAGTATGCTGTTGGAAGTGGAGATTTCTCAATTGACATGCAAAATTGGAAAAGTTTATTAATTGAGTACATAATTTGGACAGTTTCAATCACAACCGAAATTCCATAGTTCAGGCATGATCCATCCAAAGTTTCAGATTAAGAGCCTTCTCGTTTGACGGCAAGCTAAATGGAAACAGTTAATACACCAATAAAAAAGTAACGAGGGTAAATGATCAGTTAACAAAAAGGTGCCACTAAATTGTGCATACTAGCTTTGCTTGTTGCACATGCCACACCAAAATTGCCATGGACATCGTCCAAGTTCCACAAGCCATCCCAGAGAATGTCCTCGTTCGAGGCCTCAGACACTGATGCATTGACATTGAACATATTATAGAGCAAGCCATGCTCCTCGGTTGTGCTGGGGTATATGGCGTGAGAGGCCATTTCCTGCCTCATCGGAGGAGTATATGGTGCTTTATTGTCGCTTTCATCTAGTAAGGACATGATCTTTTTCATGTCCAATTGATTTAGCTGCAGCAGTTGTTGATGTTGAATCTGCTGCTGTTGTTGCTGCAGCTGCTGCTGTTGAAATTGTTGCCTCTTCAGGAGACGAGTTTTTGCCTTGTCTGGGTTTTCTGGAGAGACCTTGGCCTTCTTCTTGAAATGGGTCCTCCAGTAGTTCTTGATCTCATTATCAGTTCTTCCTGGCAAGCTTCTTGCAATTGTGGACCACCTGGTTTTTATTTTTTTCAAAATTGAATTAATTAGCTGTACACTATAAAGCTTTTTTAAAAAAATTTCAATGAAATCTCTGAAAAATTCAATAATAACGATGGGAGTTCAAGCTTTTACCTGTTCCCCCACCTAGCATGCAACTCCACAATGATGCTCTCTTCATGTGGGGTTATCTGCCCCCTCTTCAGGTCTGGCCTCAAGTAATTCACCCACCTCAATCTGCAGCTCTTTCCATTCCTTTTTAATCCTGCAGAGCCAAGGACAGAGAGACAAAAAAAACACAAAAATATTAGTCCTGAGTAGGTGTACTATACTACTATAGTCGATGGTAGCCTTAGCAATAAGAAGGTGGTCATAGGAAAATACAATCTTAATATTTACTAAAGTAATTAAGAAAATCCACATGCGTCATTAATCACTATAGTCAGTAAAAATTGGATCCCTTGCCACAGGGTACTGCACCATTGCGATTGTGACAATCTAACTGAGCTTGGCAATTTCCACTTAAATGGGCTAAAACACTAAGCCAGAACTCAAATAGCTAAGTTAAGAAAGGTTATATGTAGGATGAATTAGATATAGACCTGCAAGCCTAGCTACAGAGTTCCATCTTCCTTCACCATGCAGCCTTACATATTCAATAAGCAACCTGTCTTCTTCAGAAGTCCAGGGTCCTTTCCTCCAACCCTCATCAATGAGACCACCCCAACCCAACTGCCCTGCCATCACTCCCCAAGACATGTTTAAATGGTAGGAAAAAGGAAAAACAAAAGAAAGCTTAAGGTTTGTTAATGTGTAGGTAAAGTTTGTCTTCAAAATTCTGTGCACCTGGGGTTAAGAGTTTGTTTGCATATTTATATCTGAAAAATGCACCCTATTGCATTCCATCAGTCAATTTAGTGTCACTATCACATCATCCCTATCTTTTTTCCCTGTAGTGGGTACTTGTGATCTCTAAGATACCATCATCATTTGATGAATTGATCTATATACCCTCCCATCGTTTTGATTTTCCACGAGACATGCCGATCCAGTGGCTGTGATGTAAGGATCGAATTTCCTATTGATGGGAAATGCCAGTGCCACTAATGCCAATACATGTGACGCACAAGGGCATTTGGGAAATTAAAAAGATTGTCAAGACATTGGGTGACATGTCCTGTTAAGGATCAAATCCAGTTAGATTAGGATTTGTTTTGATGCCAAAGGCAAAACAAAAGAGAAATAGTAAACTCATGGACTTATGCCACGTATAGAATAGGGCTTATGCATCAAGACACTAACATTAATAGCCCTTAAAGCATAATCTAGATTTGGCAAATTAAAAATACATGGGTGGTGGATTTTTTTTTTAACTTGAAAGGTACTCGTGGACCAATATGTTTTTACCAGCTGTTTATATGCTTGCTTCTTAAGGAGATCGATACATGTAATCTCCATTAAAATGTTAATTAAATAGAAATTGCTGGATACCATTTTGGGTGTTGTAGTCATTATAATATTGAAGCCATTGATGGTTTTGGTACGTCACCTTGTGAACAGGTGTACGTTTTACAGATGATTTTGGTTTTTGGAAAGGAAATGTTCCGTGAACTAGTGGGGGTACACATTTTCAAAAAAAAAAAAAAAAAAAAAAAGGCACATCACATACTTGGGATGCCCAGCAACAAGTGCTAGAAACAATGGAAAAAACTCTTTCCATTAATATGTATGTATTATATGTACAAATGCAAGCAAATATAGGTTAGAAACTGTAACGAAAATAGGATTAAAAAAAATGGTACTGATCAAATTTGTAAATGTTAAGCACGGTGATCGATGAAAACCAAAGCGGACGAGACCACAGTCCATATATTTGAAGTTTGAGACCGAAGAAATAGTAGGAATTGATTAGATCATTGATTGACCTGTCATTGGCCATTAGCCCATTACATAAGCACAGAAATGACAAACCATAGAGCAACGTGTGATGGCTTTGACCATTCCACTATTCTGGCAACTTCAAACTCAAATGGACTACAAACACAACATAAAAAAAAGAAAAAGAAAAAGAAGGAAGAAGCAGGAAAAGATTACACCCTGCCATTTGCTAGTAGGTCATGATCTTGCTGCAGATGATGTCACCAGGTTACAAATTTAAAAGAAGCATAAAAAATAATGTTCACTCACACGTAATTGTATCAACTTCTAAACCCTTTTACAATTAATCAAATCTGATTAGACACCAATAATCCGTGTTTTGTACGGAATTTTTAAACTCAAAAAAGTTGGTCCCGTAACATGCTTGTACTGCTTAAACTTAATTTGTTATACAGCTAAGCATTAGTGCACTTAAGCTTTATTACAAAGGTACAAAGATCTCTTGTGCTTCCTTTGTTTCACACCTTTTGTGTTGTCTTTTATGCTAACTGGGGCGTCTTTTCAAAGTAGATTGGGATAAAGTTTTGAGGATGCTGTGGGGTTCGAAGCGTTAATTTTTTATCTATAAATTCCCTTTTGTTTTTTCACTTGATTGGAATGAAATTAATGTTGTGACGTGCCCATTAGTTTCTAGAAGCATGATGAGCATGGGATCACAATTAACAAACTAACTAGATCAGATCAGAATACGCGAATTGCTTTTTATCAAATTTTGTTACTGGATTTTGTCTGACCCGGTCAAATTAATAGAACTTGTATCCTCTGATATTTAAGCTGACTCAGAATTTCACTGGCAAGTTGTGCCTTTGATTACCAGAATTTCACTGGCAAGTTGTGCACTGGCAAGTTGTGCCTTTGATTACTAGGTTCTAGCATTCTTGTTCCTCTTCATCGAAATAGAAATAATGCCCGAATTAGTATGATTTCTAAAGATCTTGATTGCAACAATTGTTAGTGCAAGTATTACTGTATGCAAGAGATATCAAATGCTTTAACTTTGATCTTTACTGCAATTATGATATCTCCTATTCTATCTTGTAATCTTTAACCTAACTTTAATGTAACTTTGAATGAGCCACTAAAAAAATAAAGATTTTGGCAACGAATTTTTTCAACCCTAAACCAATTTATTCGGTCATTATTTTCTTTAAACAGTGAAATGGCGATCATACCAATCTATCAATAAAACATTTATCGCTAATAATTTTAGTTATTGAATTTAGAATTCATCGCTAATTTAGCAATGGATAATATGTCCCTATAATGAAGTATGTCTATTGCTAATGTTATGAAATTAGAGGCGAACATGTTATAGCTATAAAGATTTTTATCCGTTACTAATGTAAAGGCAAATCATTGGCGAAAATCCCTATCGATGAATTTGATGTCGTTAATATGTCTTTATTTGGTTGGTAATCTACAAATGGTTTACTGTAGTTGTCCGCCAATAATCTACAAATGATTAAGCATGTCATCGCTAATGTAGGAAATGTGTTTGTTTTTTTAATTCGTTATTAGTGGTTTAATCTTTAATCGTAGCGATAAATAACTAAAAATGAAATTATAGCACTAAGTATTATTGTGTAAAACAAAAATAATATAAAATCAAATAAAACATATACAAATGCGCTCTAATCTAAGAAAATAATAAAAATCAAGCAAAAAAAAAAAAAAAGCTAGTCCGATCAAAGGGGTCATCATTATCATCGAGTAGCTATTAGGTAGAGGGAGCGTTAGGAAGAGGGAAAAGTAAGTCAACGTGGGTTTACATCTCTCGTAATAGCTAGTGCGTCATTTGCATTTGTCGTTGTTGCTCTTGTTGGATAAACTAATATTTTGCCTTGTGTTCCTTTTGAATCACTTAGATCTACCGAGCCTAGTTATGCTTTATTATTGTCAAAAGTTCGTCGTCAGTACCACTCATCATCCTACTGCATACCATCATAGAATCACGATGTGGCAAATGATGAACTAGCCTCGAGTAGGAGTAATATTAGGATGTTTATTATTCAAGACCATGCACTACACTTCTTCTCCCCTCTTACAACCTCGAGATATATTTGAGCTATGTCAACGTCTGGCGGTGATGAAGTATCCTCCGGTGTCTAGCTAGTAGTCGTCCGACGTATTGAGTCCAAGTGCTCCTACGTAACTATAAAAATTATAATATTAAATAATAAATTTAATTTTAAGATTAAATTAGTATATGTATAATTACAAAAAATAAAACACTTACCTTAACTATCTCGGATCACATATTGACGAATGACCCATCCATTATTCGGTGAGTCTTCACGAACAACTCGTAAGGATTTGGGTCGGGACCTAACTCCTTAGCCTAAAACAATTTGACATAAATAATATGAGATGAAATTATTGTAAATAATAATTTATAACATAATGAATAATAGAATTTATCATGCGTACGAGTATGCTCAACCAGTGAGATAGAACCCTTTGCATGTTTAGATGGACCGAGTGGCGATGCCACTCGTCTAGCTTTTAAAATTTTGAGCCACCTACTTAGAATAATCTCAAAACTTAGGTGTAGCCCATCATCATTATCATTCATCCCACACCTGCTCTAGGACGGATGGAGGTTTGGTCTCCTTCCTCTTCATGCTAGTTAGCATGTTGGCATACGATCTACATTCTTGATGTTCTCATGCTATCTTAATTAGTACGTCAATGGCTTACTCCCATATAAAGTACTTGTAAGAAGAAAAAAATAAATAATAGTATAGTTATATTAAATTTACTTAAATAATTTAAAAGGAATATAAATAATTATTTAATATATTATATTAAACTCATTCCAATAGAAGTATTTAGTCTTCTAAGAAATTGACTTTCTCATGGAGTCGAAGGGATCCAATTGCTCCTCGCAAATGACGGTGATCCGCTAAGAGCATTTACTCGAATGAATTCAAACTGTCGAACACGACAAATAAAAAAACAATAAGTGAATTCATAAATAAAATAATATACCAAAATATAAAAAGTAATTATGGACTATAAAGTATTGTTAATGCTATTTATATTAGTTTATGTAATATATACCTTACATTAACGACGTCAATGGTCCAATTAGAATCATTCTTGAACTACCATATGGAGTAGAAGAAACCATTAAGGCAACCTCTGCAACTCGGCTCTGTGCAAGCTGACGAGTGGTCTAGTGAGAGAGCCAATGAAGATGGAGGCACCGATGCCGGCAATGTAAAAGTGCTACGCACGTGTCTTGAATCAAAAATAGGACTACATCCATAATCACCGCCACTACCATGACCACTACAATCCGATTTGGTCGAATGGAACCCTCGAGTGGGAAGACCCAAACCACGAGTCATCGCCTATACGGAATCATATAATATAGTTTAATAAATACTACGAATGAAATACATCTCTATTACCTCAGTTTAATAAATATAATAAATAAATAAAATCTCTATTACAAATTATCAATAAAAAAATGAATAAAAACATCCTTTACTACCTTAGTTTAATAATAAAAAAACAATATATCTATTACCTTAGTTTAATAAATATGATAAATAAAAAATATGTCTATTATCTCAATTTAATAAATACAATAAATAAATAAAATATCTCTTAAATATAAAATTTCAATTAATTTCATTTCAAATATACTTCTAATCACTATCATAATCATAATTAATACCTTTATTATCATCATCTAAGCCTTCATCTTTCTCGATCGATTTTGAATCAAATTCACTCGTATCCTCTTGATTAACTTCAACCTCTTCTATATCTATAAGCAATTCATTTTGATTAGTTAACAATTGCTCCTCATCATA